TTTTTATTAGGAATAAAATTGAATTGAAATGCAGATAGAAAATATATGTGAAAAATGAATTCAGTATGTAGAAGGGAAAATAATAAATGCGAAATCGATCGATTTTACGTTGAATGACATTTTTCAAACGTAATTGAATTATATTTTTACAAAAAAAACGTCAAGAAATGCAGGCTAAATCGACCTACTATGTAAATTTAGTAAATACATTAGTTTTATGATTTTTTATGAAGTTGAATTATTGTAAATGGATCGATTTTTGAAAGATAATATTCAAATTAAATTAAAATATTTTCTGAATTATCTGGCTTCGCAAACTGCAAAAAATGGATACTGTGTTATCATCGAGAAAAAGCCCGAGTTATAATAATTGCAATACAGCTAGTAGCAGCAAAACTTAACAAACAAATTAGATAATAACCAAAATTTTCAAATGCAATGAAACTTTAAAAAAGAGACAATTAATGATTTTTCCAAAATATCAGTAAGTTCCGGTCTACTTTAAGGTGTTGAATTATTGTTGAATTTAATTTCAAAATATTAATATTTTATGGCTAAAATTGCTCGAAATTAATCCATATGTATTTCATACTTTATAATCGGTTTCAACAATTTAATTTCCACCGCTTATTAAATTTAGTTCAAATGCTGATTTTTATTTTAATTAATGCATTAATTAGTATAAACTTAGAAGTAAGTTATGAGTTCAAATGATTTTAATATTTTAAATGAGAAAAGAAATAATATAATTAAAAAAAAAAAATTAAAAATATAAATATGCAACAAATTTGAAAATAAGCTTGTAGCATTAATATGGCATTTGGGATTTTTGTATGAAATGCAGATATAATTGTTAACAAAAATTTCAATTGTTTTTTTGGAGAAAAAAAAAAACAATAAATGTTTTGAAAACGATTTTTTGTAGTTATTACATTAGCATGATAATATCTTTAAAAAACAATTGTATGATATGGAATTTATTCGTTAATCTAAATTCTTTCATATTCTTTTCAGAAATTTATTTTTGAATGAAGAAAGTGGAACTCAAAGAAAGTGACTTTTTGTTTTATTGCTGACAATTAAGGAAGTCGTAACGAAGCCCTATTCATCGCTTTAAAAGTTGGCATAGAAGTAAAGAATTTCTTTTTAACTTCGTTTAGGCAAAAAATTTTCATTTTGATTTTAAAAAGCAAAATTACCGATTTATTAAGTGAAAAGATAGCGTACATAATGATTTTAATGCAATTATACCCGATTTAATATCTTTTCATAGGCCGCTTACAAATAATTGATATTTTAATAAAAAAAAAATCATGAAAAGTCTTATTTTCTGGTAATTATAAAAAATCATCAGTAATTATGTAATTGTATCTACTTCATTCACTTAATTTTGATAAAATCAATCATTTTTTTTACGAAAGTTGATATTAAATCTTTTCTAAGGAATTGAAATTATTGTATTATATTTGTGTACCCTTTTATATCACAATGCCGATGTTCAATTTTCTTAAGCTGATATTTACATGATATCGAATTATAATTGATCTCATGAGTAGAATAAAAAGATTATTATAACATATAAAGACATTCTAATAATATGCGTTACAGCAAGCACAATATAATTTGAGATACTATACAAAAACAATTTGCTTTTCATAAATGATATCTCAAAAGTATAGAGAACACAATTTTTGTGTGAATAATAAAATTTGTTGTCGATTTGTCACAAATTTATAATCACAATATTGAAAAATGCTTTATATAAATATGTAACATACAAAATAAAGAATAAAATAAAAAAATGATATTTCTACTTCTGACAGAGGATTGGATTGACGCACCAAGAGTCATCGAAGGGGTTATAAAGATATAATGACCTTGTAACCTTTAATTGATACTAGAATGGCTCTAATTTGCCGGATTAAATATCTAATCTCGAAAACAAATTTATTTTAAAATTACGATAATTTTTGGCGAAACGTAAACAATGTCAGTGAACTTCACAGAGGATACTTGCTTGCGATTTAAATAGATTCATTAACTCTTCGATGAAGTCTGTTTCAATTGGCGTATTTGATTCAATTCTTCTTGAGGAAGATTCATTTAATAATGGTATCTGTAGCTTTCTGGTGTTTGGTCATTATGTTTTGATGCATTTGAGTCATACTGACCAGATCATTGCTTACCTGCTTTGTCCGGATCTGAAGAAAACAATTGTTGATTATTCTTCTTTCTATTGACAAATTAAGTCTGATTAGTCTCATGCATGGTTTAACTTGAAATTGACGAATTGACTTATCATTTATCAATTTCACTTTTTTGTAACATAAATCTAAGAATTTCATTGTTCTGAGGCCAGAAACCCTCCATGTTCCATTATGCAGAATGTAAATGTGCTTTCTGTATTGGTGTTAACTCCTTTATTGTTGAATTTTGGCCAGTTGCTTCAATCGGATGTACAACTTCTAAGAAAGATGCGTCTTGTATGCATCTAGTTTCACTTGTTTATAATCATCAATCTGGAAGGCGCGAATTTCCTCCAGTAATTTTGGAAGTGCGGCGGCCTCTCAATGAATTTTGGAATTGAAATTAAAAAATTATTAAAGGAATAAAAAGTGCAATATATTCGTTGTTTAATTTTCTTTCCAAAAATTAAAGTCATGTATAGCACTATTAATAGTTGTTTTCAAATGACGCCATATATCAATTCAATTTGAATAATTTTGTAAGTAAAGGGAGAAAACTAACTTTCCTAAGAGTGTTAATAAAAGATTGGAAACAAATTTATATTTGGCTGCTGTAAAAAACATATTAACATGAGAATAATATGCGCAAAAACAGAATATTTCATTGACATTATTAAGAATTCCAAGAAATAATACATTCAATTAATCGTTTATAATAGACGAAAGATCACTTTACGTTTAGGAATGCACAAATCAAAGAATAATTTTTTCCCCTCCAATTTTTCGAATGAGGAATAATTGAATTGATCAATTTTTGTTTTTATTATCTAAACAATTTTTGAATAACTCAAGAAATTTTAACTTGGAAATATAGCAATAAAAATGTTGCTCAAGTGCGTCTTTACGATGATTTTTCATAACAAATTAATTAGCAGCTGCGAAATTAATAGTAATATACATGGTAATATCTTTGGTCTAGTCTAAACCAACAGCTGCTAATTTCAAAATACAAGTAATTGAAAAAATAAATGTGCAAAAATTCATGCCAAATTTTCAGATAAACAAAAGTTGTAAATTGCTATTTTTATGTAAAATACATCAATCTATTGAAAAGTTTAAGAGTCAAATTTTCTTTAACTATTTTGAGAATAATTCAATTTATTTTCTAATTTTGTCTATATTTTCGAATTAATAATTATGAATACTATACATGAAGTTCAATTGAGGTATTACGTTTCGAAAATTGCTTCACAAAAATCTAATATCAAAATCGACGCTGTGAAATGATTTTCAATTTTAGGATGGCATGAAAAATAATCATATTTTTCTAATTGTAATTCTCGTAAAAAAAATACTTAGAGAAGCAAAAAGTGAAGTAGATCTAGTTTATAAGGTCTATCAGTCACACAAATATTAATTGTTTTGTTCACTCAATACACAAAATTATTATCTTTAAAATGAATTTTTTTGAATGGTAGAAGTGTACAATCCTAATAAATCGTTACAAACAGTGTAATGTGAAATAATCAATTGCTATTCATATAAAATTTGTCTAATATCATATTAATATGAATAAAATCAATCGACAATTGTTATTATTCAGCCTATACTAATGCTCACTTTATATTCAGTAAAAGCTGTGATTCGGAGGAATTGTAAAAAATTAAGAAAAACGATATAGAAATCTTTTTAATATTATATTGAAATAAATAAAAGAAGAGAAATCATTTTTAAATGCATTATAGTCCTATCATGGAGCTTGTATGCAACGCGTTACAAATATGTATTTTCAATATTTTTTGTATTGAAATCCATCGGACATCGAGTCATGATAGTTGAATGATGATATTCCTAATCTTTTATCCAATTTTCGATTAAGGATGTCCTCTGAATGCTTATGATTACATCAAGTTCAATTCCATACAACAATTTTATGAAAGAAAAGTGACCAGTAATAAGCAGAAAACGAAATCTTATAATAGATTCGAATCAATAGATTACTGAACCAACAAGGCAGATCTACCTGATTTTAAATACCTAGGAGAGTTTATGTCATCCGTTTAATACAGAGACTTAATTCTAATTACAGCACAATTGCAATGAAATTCAAGCTGTAACAGCCAAAATTCGATTATATGTGGAAGATCTACAACTACGAAGTATATGTATATGAGCTGTTGAAGTTTGAAAGAACAGATCATTTGATAAGTTTTTAAATGAATACTTTGTGTTACACTAAAGAGTTTGTCTTGGAACTAAGAACAATAAGAAAATCTTTTGACTAAATTTCGATTGAAAATCTTATTGTTCTATGGAATTCGGTTGAAAAGTTGAAAAGTGAAAAGGCCAAAGATACTGGTATTATATTAAAGTAATAGTTTGTTCTGTTAGAAATAATAAAATAATTATATAAAAAAAATCTTAATTTATTTTTATTTCTGTTACGTTTTCTTGTTGTATTTGTTTGTTCGTGAGGTCCATTAAACGAATCTGGAGCCATTTGGAATCCCATTTGCCTAATTTGAGGCTTTGGGAAAGCTACGTCAGCTGGCTGAGGTATTGATGTATTTCCTTGTCTCCGTTGATGAATTCCAGCTTTGGAACGATATCGTTTTGTAATGAATTGTGTCAGTCATGATTGTTTCAACGGCAATTGTGCTTGGGTTTTGAGGCGTGTGATACTTTTCTCGATGGTGCTGACCTTCTGAATGGTTTTGGACTCGTTTTCAGTGTTTTTCTGGTTCACTTTTTCTCTGAACTGGTTTAAATTGTTCTCTTTGCTTGGATTTCTTCTCTTCGTTGTTGAGGAGTGACTCAAAGTTGGGTTTCGGTGTTAATTTCGTCTCTTTCTTGGACCATCCGTTGTCTTGGTTGACAATAAGAAATATCTCCGTCAGAATCTGAATCAGAACTGGACTTGGATCGGGCATAAATGCCATTTCGTTTTAGTAGATGATAATGGTTCTGATTTCTTCTCTTCTGGCTTTGGAGCTGGTTTTGGATTTCGGTTTTGGTATTTTGAGGAATTACCGATTCGAAACCGACAACATGTAATTTGTGTGTGGTCATTTGTGGCTGCGGTTGTGGTTGTGGCTGGAACTGTTGAGGTTGGTACGGATTTTGCTGAATTAATGGAACACCCGAGGGTTCTGTTGAGAAGAAAATCATCGGTCGATGGAGGTCGCTGAATTCCGAAAGGCAATTTGGGCGAACTGCGGCAACTGTGGAGTAAATTGTGGATATGGAGCCCGTCCCATCATCGGGAAATAGGATGGGAGGAAGGCATTCTGCATATAGAACTGGTCGGCCATTGAAGGTGGCTGGGCAAAGTTGAAAATTGGCATTGGTTGCTGAGATTGAGATCGAAATTGAACTGAGGAGTTGCAATTTCTTGAGGATTTGGATCGTATTGGAGATGCGGATTGGGCATAAATAATGGAACTGGGTGTTGTGGCTGCATCTTCGGTTTTTGGTAGGGATTTTGGTAAATTTGGGGTTTGTAGAGGTTGTTGGACTGAGTTTGTTGATATTGTTTTGCATTTGTAATGGCTGCGGTTGGAATGAAGGCATTGGCTGGAATTGTTGAACTTGTGGAATTTCTTGGGATTGTTGGTTTTGTTGAGGATTTGGCTGGAATTGCTGTGGCTGTGGTGTTTAGGAAGCTGGTTTCGGAGTGAAAATGGCTCTGTAAGCTTTGGTTCCGGATTTAATGGAGCGGATTTTGGAGCAGGAGTAGTTTCTTGCTTTGCAGGTGTCCAGACAGCGAAACTTAGAATTATTGTTGTTATTATTTGTTTGTTCTGTTGTCCTGAGATCCTGGTCTGTATTCAGCAAATTCGAATTTTGACTTCCTGTTCGTTTCTGACGGCCTTGATTAGGCTGGTATGTATTTGTTGGCTGTGCTGTATATTTTCTGGTTGTTTTTGTGGTTGTTGTCTTTATTTGTTGCGATTTTTGTATTCGAAGTTGAATTATTGGATTTATTGTTGAATCAACTGGTTTAAAACCAGGTGGTTCTGATTGTTTGCTTTCTTTAGAAGCTGGTGTGTTTATAACTGATTCAAATCCTGGTGGAGCGTCGATAACTTTTCAAAACCAGGAGGATCGCTTAAAATTGGCTCAGAACCAGAAGAATTCGATTTTGTATTTTCAAATCCAGGTGGTGAACTGAGAACTGGTTCGAACCTGGTGGAGAATCAATAACTTTATCAAATCCAGGGGGAGCATCAATGATTTTGTCAAATCCTGGAGGTGCATCAATGATTCTATCGAATCCTGGTGAGCATCAATGATTCTATCAAATCCGGGTGGAGCATCTGGGATTTTTTCGAATCCAGGGGGAAAATTAGGATTAAGCCAAATCCAGGAGGAGTATCGATCATATCGTTTGATTTTGGCCTTGGGTTAAATGTATTCTTTGGTTTTGGATCAAATGTTGGTGGGGAATTTGAATTCCGAGTATTTCCAGCAGAATTTGTAGTATTAGGTTGAGGGTTAAATGCTGGAGGACTGTTTGTGTTTCTTTTTGGATCTTTATTTGTTTCTTTTGTTTTTATTATTTGAATCAAGTTTTTATTTTTGTTATTCTCATTCTTTGATGAGTTTGTGAAATCACTGAAACTGATTTCGTGGGTATTTTTTATTGGCTGAAAGTTGGAGATCTCCAATTTGAATTGTATCGGATTTTTCTGGTTGTTTTTGATTAATTTTGCGCTATATTCTTCTTGTCTTTTTCTATAGGGTTGGATCTAGGATTATCAGCGCATATCGGTTTTGAAAACTTGAATTCTTGAAATGGATATCTTAATTCTTTGAGAGTTAAGTTACTTGTACACATCCATGTTGGCTCTGGCTTCTCAATGAAAAGAGAAAGTAATTTATCAATTGAATATGAGTCTTCAGCCATGATTTCGTTTGAAAAAGAATTTTTTTTTTCGCTTGAAATTACCCTTTTTGTCATCGACTTGTTTATATGCTATCACCATTTTTTCATTGGAGATATATGTAATAAACAGAAATTCATCAAAAGTGACAGCTCTCAATTTTTTGACATTTGTAAATTCTAAATTGAATGAGAAAAATGAAATAATAACTAAGCATAATACAATATTCTAGATTTAATTATATTTAGGAAAAAGTTAGTTTTGAGAGTACTTTCATAGGCATATAGAATGAAATCTTCTGAAAAATAATATCACATAAACTCATATTATTTTCTAATATATAACTATTTTATATAAAAATCAAATTCAATGATCTTAAAAGCGAAAGGATAGTAAGTAGGATAGGATGGGTTTTGTGACTTTTTTTGTAAACGTAAGAATTCATACAATATCGAGCGATTTTGTATCATTTTTTTTAACATATGAAGTAAAAAATTGTATGATTCTTACGGTTTTTTATTCTTACATTTTTGAATAAATCAAGATTTAAAAAATTTTCAAAATTGTAAGACATTTACACTCACCCATACATAATGAATAAAAATAAAATTTTTTAAAAAATAAACTTTAAAAATTCATGTCTTACGAAAAATTAAAACTTAGTTATGTTTATTTATTTTTTTTTTTATTTTGTATGAAATGAGCGTCAAAACTAACAACGTTAAAAAATTAGGATTCACAAACGAGGAAATAAAGGATATATTAGAGGAGGTGGGTTATGAAGTTGATAAATATTATTAAGAAATTGTCAAAAATTTGCCGAGTTATTAAATGATTTAGAATTATGATGGAAAAATGAATAAAGATGATGTTATAATTTCTTATAATCCCACATCTGAAGAAGAAAAACCTAAAGAACCGATGTTTTCCCTGAATATTAATGAAGAACGGATTAAAGATGATGAATACGATGAAATTAAAAAAAAAAAAAAAGGAGTGGGGCCTCCAGGCGCGTTGCGCCCTCTAAGCCCATAAAAAATTTTTGGTAGAGCACTCAAAATAGTATAACTTTGTCCGGACAAGTAAGGGTCTATCGTCGCTACAGGAAAGTTACAGGCGTTCCAAGGAAGTATACTTTGAGAAGCCTTTTCTGTCACTTTTCAGGAAAAAACATTTTTATTATTATATATAAATGAATTTTACAAAACCACCGTTACCGTTCTTTGGAAATAAGAGTAAATGTAAAGATATTATATTTGAGAGAACTTAAGAAACTACCGAATGGTCTAACATTTGTAGATTTGTTCGTTGGAAGTTTCTATATATCCCATTTGTGCCATACAATATTCCCAGACTCAAAGATTATATGCAATGACTTCGACAACTATATGGACCGTCTCAAACATATACCAGACACAAACATATTATTGAAAGAGTTAAAAGAAAAGATACCTATAGGTAAGATGGAACGTATAACCATTAGATAACAAAAATATTGTGAGAGAGGTTTTGAAAAAAGCAGAATATATAGACTGGGATAGTATATCTGCTAGACTATTATATAGTGGTGCTATAAGAGTTCATGACATTGAAACACTTATGTCAAACGTTTTTATATCTTAACTATACAAAATGTTTTCAAAGAGAACATAGAAAAATATATGAGGGTATAGAGTTTGTGAGATGTCATTGGACAGAGTTGTATGAAAAATAAAGACAAGGAAAATGTTTTCTTTATAGTGGACGCCGCGTTCTATAACACATGGGATTTTCAATACCAAGTAGACTGGACTTTGAGAGACTCTTTAGAAACTTTAGACGTTATACATAACCATCCATGCTTTTATCTTTACATCCGATAAAAGTGGTTTTGGAAACCGTTATGAGATGGTTAGAGGACATACATGACTATGAGTTTAGATATGAGCAAGATAGAATATGAGAGAGGTCCTATAAACCGGAGAAAGTGTCATAACAAAAGAAATTTTACTAGTAAGTAAATGTGGTTTGAAAATAGGACTACTTGTTTTAGGTTTTTTTCCATTGTGTCATTTATTTATTTGACGTGGCAGAAAAGTACAGAGAATATGAAGATGAACCAATGCCTGCAAATGTTCAGTATATGTACTCGTAAGAGATATTTTTATCTAATATTAAATGGACGCACCACAAACTTAGCGAATGCACAGCAACCTGAACAACCAAACCCAGAGAATATTCCAAATGAAGTTAGAATACAAACTGCAATGGCAAACTATGGTCAAGTGCCAACAGATGTACAAATGCAAACTGCCATGTCAAATGACGCTGGCGTTAGGTTTGCCACCATGGTATGCAAATAATGAGATGGAAAGAGTTTTATACAAACCCTGAAGTGGGATATAAACAACTTTATGCAGATGACGCGAACACAGGAGTTGACCCAGAATATGTTTTCTACCAGAGGAGAAACAGAATGTATGAGCTCCAGTTAAAGAATGCTATGGAACTCAACAGGAAACGTAAGAGACTAGGCGGACATTAGATTTTTACATATAGTAAAATGGGTTTCTTTGAGAAGAATAGGAAACTTCTTTCGAAATGTTTGGAAGAGGTAATATGGAATGGAATAAAATCTGTCGGAAGAGGAATTTGGAACGGAGTCAAAAATATTGGTAAAAGAGTAGGTCAGTTTGTTGGTATTATACCTAAAGACCCTGAACCAGAAGAACAAGCTCCTGTTATAACAACAGCCTGAACCTGCACCACAGTCTAGTTGGCAACCAAATCCAACACCTCAACCGTATTAAAAAATTATATTTTTACCGTTCGATAGTAGTTGTATTATGAAACTAAGTTCTAAGTAAAACGCATGGTATAATGGAATTATTCTTTTTCTTCCATCTGTAGTAAACCATACTTGAAAGTCTGAAATACTTCCACTTGGTGGTTCGTATAACTTTGTAGGTTTTTCGTAAAAGTCATTTGCCAAGCATAAGAAAGAGTTTTGGGCGCCAGAAAATGAAGCATGAACAATAATAGCAGCTGGGTCGAAAACATTTTCATATGTTCCATTAGGGTTTTCGACTTCATAAAAGTCTGGGTGTACTGGATATGCTGCAGGCTGATTTAACATCCTCATAAATCTATACATGCCAAGTTGTTATATTTTGTAGAAATATAAACGTTTTCTCCAAGGTCTTCTATTCTATTGATTTTAACAGTTGCATTTTTCCTGTCATAAATAATATCGAGATGGTATTCTCCCTCGTCAATGTTATACTGGTTTGCATATTCGATATAGATATCGTTTATTTTTTCTTGAAAAGCTTGAAGAGTTGTTTCTAAGTTTACAAGCAAACTAACTTGTAAAAGTTTTCCCTGTTCAAATTTCTCATACATACGTTTTTCTTTGTATATAGTATCGAACTTCAAAACCGACCCGTAAATGGGAAACCATGTATGGCTTCTGAAATGAACTTCATTCTACGAAAGCCAATAGCTTTTGTGACAGATGGGTCTCTTAACCATCTCAATGGGTAGTCAAAACGATAGCCTTCATGCTTTACGGTCTCTGTCTCAAACTTTTGACCGACATTAGTAAAAAGTTCATCTAATGGTTTAGTTGTAGCAACTCTAGAATTTTCTTTTTCTATTGGAAGCATATTTTTTATCTATAATAAAATGTCAAAATGAAACAGCGTCTAT